CCCTTGACAATATACTTAATTCTAATTATGCCCTAATATAATATTAAATATAATAATAGAAATAAATTAAATTAAATACACATGTGTATTCAATATTTTCTACTACTAGGGGTTTTTCTTTCGAATTATCATAATCTTTTTTATAGAATCCTTCTTCCTTCCTCTCTTTCTTTTTCTTTTTCCTTGACCAAAACGTCAAGAGTTTGTATGTCGTGCAATTTGCGATAAGAAAAATAATAAAGAAGAAAAATGATCGTTATACACAAGTCCGATGAGTAATACGTAAATTATATTTTGTTGTTTATTGTATGTCGCTACGTTTCAGATTAAAATTTATTCTTTTTTTCTTTTTTTTAATTTTACGTAATACTTTTCATATTTTTATTATACCTGTTTTTTCTTTTTTTCCTTTTTTTTTTTTTTAATATTCGTTTTACGTACAATATTTTAACAGCGATTTTTTTTGTAAATTCTTTTATACCAAATGAATTATCAACTAATGGTTAGATAATGTGACGTTCAAAGATATCTACTCGAGATATCTGTTCTCTTTAGATAGCAAGAAATAAGAGAAGTTAAATAAAGTTTACTTTACTTACGAGCTAACTCTTTTTATCGTTCTTAATATTTTTTTATTTTTACATATATATATATATATATATACGTATATAATCGTGCCGCCATTTTCTACTGTTAAGTTTCATTGAATGGCTACATCAATTACAATTATTATTTTCTTATTGTTAATTAATCATTAATCGCACTTTACGATCAAATGAGAAAATATTTCTTTAATATTATTTTTATATCTATAATAAATAATTTATCGAGAAATGGTTATAAATAAATAATGTTATAAATATCAATGTGTTTCTATTTGAGAAATATAAAACTTGCTGTTTTTTTTTTCTTATCACGTTAATAATAGAAAACAAAAAAATGTATTTCATTTGTAAAATAAAATTCGAAATATTGTGCAATTTGTTCGTAACGTGTTTAAATATCAGTCAAGATTAAAAATCATTCCGAGAATAGTATTTAAACATCGATTATATTTAAAAAGAACACGAAGAACGGTTTATCAGTAAAAGATAATTTTATGATCCACGTATTAATGTCGAACGAAAACAAAATGTTTTTTTTTTTTTTTTTTTGATAAATCGTCATCGGATAAATGATCTTATTTTATCTTTTCTTTAATTATTAATTTTTCTTTCACAATATACATGAAAATGAAAAAAAAAAGAAAAAAACAATATTCAAAATATGAAAATACTTTAGGTGTGCAGTATAATTAAATCGTCGATCTCTCAAATACGACATATCGAAACATTATTTTTAGATTTGTAATGAAGTTAATGATAAAAAATGTGGAAAAATAAATAAATAATAAAAAAAAAGAAGATTCTATTTTAAATTCTCTTACATAATTTTATAATATTTACAATTCCCTCGACACCATTTTTTGCTAATTGTAAAAATATCATCGATCAATTAGTAAAACATTTAATAAAATATTTATTTAACTTCGCATTTAACAATTAACACCTCGATTGATTCACATTGATTGGAAATTGTAATCAGCGATACGTTATCGCTTTCAATCGATAATATAGCATTCTTTTAAATGACGAACGTTAACATACGTTCCCAATGTATTTTCAATGATGATACAATATAATATGATTTATAGAAATCGTTTAAAATGTGAAAATAACACGCGTATGATTTTATTTTAATCGACGCTAAGAATTTGACGATCCACGTGTTTTTAATTCAATGAAAAAAAAAAAAAAAAAAAAATAACATGACATTGATTATTAATTAATAATAATTCATTTATTGATTTCAGTTGACGGGTGTAATGATAATATCGGTTGGTTCAACGATTTATGCCGTTTATGAAGATTTTTCACATTTCTTGGATCCCAAATATTTCTCACCAGCCACACTCTTGATCGTAGTTGGCATATTGGTTTTTATAATCGCTTTCTTTGGATGTTGCGGTGCTCTTCGTGAAAGTACTTGTATGGTTCTCGTCGTAAGTAAATAACGAATATTATTATTAACAACGATTCATTCAAAATTTATGCAAATATTTATACATTTTATTTCCTTTTGTTTATCCCCTAGTTCGCTGTTTCCTTATCGGTTGTCTTGGTGATGGAATTGTCTGCAGCAACTGCAGCGTACGCTTTACAAGACACCGTTAAAGATCTTTTGGAGAGTAAAATCAATACTACAATGCATGAATACGATAAGAATACAGAAACTAAAGATGCAGTTGATTTCATGCAATCCAGGGTACAAAATTATTAAAGATTTTACGATTAATCTATAAGCTATAAAAGAGAACTCGTATTTAATTACTTGATTTAACATTTGTTTCTAATAAACATTTCAGTTACACTGTTGTGGTTATAATGGTAGAGATAACTGGAATGAAATTAATTTTAAACAAGAAAACGACAAAGGTATACCTAACTCCTGCTGTGGAATTCTCGAATTTGATGGAAATAACACTATGTGTAAGATTCCTTATGAAATAGGCTGCATGAGCAGACTTTCCATCATAGTTAATCGCAGTGCACTTTACATTGGTACAGGAGCCGTAGCGATAGCTCTTATTCAGGTTAGTTAATATAAATAAAATACTTATTTTCGTGAATTATTAAACGTAAGAGCCCATGAAATATAACATAGAATATGGTATGTAGTTTTGAACGTTGAAATATAGCGCGAAAGGTTAATATTTGATATAATTGTTAAAAAGATTTACCACACCTATCGTCAAATGATTCATCAGGATTGCATTGGAAATTTTCCCTTTTATATATCATTCGGTATTTTATCATTAATACTATTTAAAATTCGATGAATCATTTGTAAGACGTTTGGATGAACTTATTTGTAATATAAATATTGTCATATTTTCAGCTGACTGGAATAGTATTCGCATGTATGTTGGGTAGAGCCATCAGACGACAAAAGACAGAAAGAGAAAGACGTAAGTGGGAATTGAGAGAAAGTATCGTAAATGGTTATCAACCTCTTGGAAAGGCAGATCCGTTGACAACCTTCCCCGTTGTATACATGCAGTCTCCTGATTATCCATTGAAAGATACTGCAAATTGCTAGTCCTATAATTTCCATTTAATGTGAAATATGTTATTTGTGTGCCATTTCAGAGGTATATCAAAAGAACGATTATTATTCATGATCGCTCCTTATCCTACAAAATAAAAAAAGTCAGTATTTTCTATCAGTTGTCTAATTTACAATAAAACATTTGTAGTTTTTTTCTGTTCTTATTTTTTTTTTTTTTCATTTTTATTTCTTTGCTCTTTTTCTTTTTTTTTTTTTTGATTGCAATCGTAAAATTAACGAAACAAATTTAATTATACACTATTTTGTTGTTGTTGTTAAAAACAAGAAAGTATTTTAATAACTAATAAATATTACATATATTTCTCCGAGCTCGCATTTAAATAAACGCGAGTTTCATTTAATGTGATACCAAAGTTTATATTTAATATTAGACTATCGAGCAATTTTTAAATAGAATAGATATCACTTTGAAATAATATATATATATTACTTTCAATTACACGAATTGTAAATATATATATATAGAAAAAGACAATAGACATTTTTAATTATAAATTAAACATTCGTTTTTTTGAATTTATCTTTGCTCACACTTCCATAATGTTTATACAAGTTTTTATTATTGTCTCTTGTCTATAATAAAAATCTACAAATGTAACAGTATTATTTGATATAAAAAAAAAAAAAATTTTTAATAACTGTTACGAAAAAGTATTTTTCATTATTATAATAATTAAATTTTGACAGTGTCATCCATGTATAAGATATATTGTACTTAATTCGAGAATAAATTTTTTTCTACAACTTATTAATTAATTTTTTCTCCATCATGCTATTAATTCGTAAGGAAACAAAAAAGACAAATAAAATCAAATAATAAAAATTGACACGTACTGTATAATTTATATTTGATGCCTCTTTTGTTAGCTGCTATATTCCATATCGCATGATATTTAAAATGAAACTGTGATAACGCAACAATAAAATTGTTTTGCAAATATGTTATCAATAATATTTAAATGTTACCAAAAATTGATTGCTTTTTCAAGAATTTCAGATGCTTCTTTTTCGTGTTTACCATTTTTAAGATATGGCGGTGTTAATTCTCTGTAAGCAAGACAAACACGTCTTGTTGTTACATCTTCTCGAAGCACTGAATGCTCCCAATTATATCTAGAAAAATAATTGTATTGTTAAATAAACTACTAAACTAATGTATTAAAAATATTGCATATATATAAAATTTTGATGAAATATACCTCGCAATTCCATATAAAACCATTAATGATTTAGCTGGCATAGGTAAACGTACTACAATGTCTTCCTGTGGTTGTTCTACTTTCATATCAACTTTGGAAGAATAATCTTCTACGCAATCTAGATTGTAACATTTATTCGATTTAGTATATGGTGTCATCGTTAATACAGAATCACCTAAGACATTAACCGTGACTATACGCTCTCCCCATATCCAACAATCATCTATATGAGGATCAATAGAAGCTCCTCGTTTTGGATTATATTCAAGAGTACATTGTTCTACCGTTTGAAAATTATTTAGAATTGGAACTTCGTTGAATTTCTTTTGTATAAATTCTGTAGTCTTAGGAAATCCATTGAATGTACCTAAACGTAATTTTCGTTTCTTAAAATTACATTTTGGACCAAAATTCTAAAAGTTAATGTTTGATAAGAGTTAATACAAATGATAAAATTAATGTTAATTATAATGAACATTTTTACACACTTGTTTTCTTCTACCACTTTGCGATGGTTCCCATGGTAATTCATCTAGTAACTTTATTAAAGTTGATGTTTCTTCTGTACTTAAAAAATCCAGCTGCGTGAATGAAAAATGATCAAATATCAGAATATTACAATTGATACGTTCACAAAATATGATAACTTTTATATTAAAATTACTTGAATAAAAACACCTGGATAATCTATTGCTTGTCCATCGTGATGAGGATGTTGTTTGTACAATTCCATATCCCATCCAGGCCATGCTTTATCGCAATGCGGACAATAAACATAAGATGATTTTTCCTACAATTAAAAAATACAATTAGGATTGAATCTATGAATAAGATTTCTTATCTATTCTAATATGTTTTTTAATATTATAATGAATTTATTCAATAAATAAATCAAAGAAAGACAATTCTAAAAAAGACAAAGTATAATTATAATTAAAGTTTAGTTAATAATTACTTACTTGTAATTTTTCTTTTAAATTTAATTTTTTTATATTAAATTGTTCTTCGCAAATCAAGCAACTTCGTATTCCTTTACAACCACATGGACGTACGGTTTCCATTATTTATAAATATAAATATTTCTTTAAATATTTACGAGGTAAAGAAATGAAATTTGATTTCTTTGATAGGTTAGGTTACTTACTGTCATACGTATACATATATATATATCGCTCTGACATCATATGAATATTAGGCGGCAAATTTGAAATACTTTTCATGTAACAGCACAAACGTTGAGTGACATGCAATTTGAAAATAAAAAATATAGAAAAGAAGAAATTAAAAATATATTTATATATAATTTTAATTTCTAATTGTGTGAAATAATAGCTTTGATGCAAATTGTTTCACTTTAAAGGAATATGGTTACTATTTTTCATAAAAGTTTTTCTCTTTAAATTAAAACTATACGCGTACTGCATAATAATATGTGCGTGATTAATCTGTGTAATGTTTAATAAATATAAAAAAAAAAACTCAAACGTCATTTTATTATCGTTCTCGTATTTTTTAATGTTTGTTCTTATAAAAGGTACCCCCGGCCCTATTACGTTTAATTTTATATACAATGTTTATATGTGTGAAAAATAAAAATATTATTGTGTGATATTATCTTCATAGGGTTAATGAAGTATTGTCAACATAAATGAAGATAATATTCCAAGAAATTATCAATTCCAGAATTACAAATACTTTAAAACTATTTCTGCGTCAATCGTTATCTTTGACCTCTGTTCCTTTAAACCTGTATATAACTCTTTCGATTTCCAATTTCATGTTAAATACTCTTAGTATCAACTGCTTCATTATTCTAACTACGACTTTGAAAATTTAACGAAATAATTATTAAAATACGTAAAGGAAATTGATAAAAAAAAAAAAAAAGATGATCGTACAATTGTTAAGCATTTTTCTAATACTTCATGTGTCCTATGCTAGTAAGTAAAAAACCTGTTTTAAATTTGAACGCTATAAAAACAATGTTTAAAAGATTTCTTAAAAATGTATCATAAGTATCAATTGAATTAGTACACACTCTACTTGTGATATTTTTTGTATTATTTAATATTTTTAGATGATGATTGTCCTAACATAATAAGTAAGGCTGGTTGGGGAGGAAGGGCACCGAGAGGTATTAATTACCTTATATTACCATTACCAAATGTAATAATACATCATACTGTTACATCGGAATGTAACACACGTTCTGAATGTTCACAAAGAGTACAATCCATTCAATCTTATCATATGGATACGCTTGGTTGGTATGATATTGGTTATAAGTAAGTATTTTATACAATTATGATTGTTCGTACTAGCATAAAAAAAATGATAAATATATTCCAATGAATAATTTATTTGATTATAGTTTCATCATCGGTGGAGATGGTAATGTTTATGAAGGTGCAGGATGGACCAAAGAAGGTGCCCATACTTTGGGATTCAATAAAAATTCTCTTGGAATAGGTTTCATTGGTAATTTCGAAGGTAAGAATATAATAATTTGAATTATTTAATTAATATACGAAATAACTTTTACAAAATATCAAAAAATAATTCGATTATATTTGATTCTTTCATTTTGTTGTTGTATTATAGAAAAAGATGCGAGCAATAAGATGTTAGAAGCTGCACACAAATTGATCAGATGTGGTGTTTCCAAAGGTGTATTTCGTGATAATATTCGTGCCATTGCTGCTAGACAAGTAGCACAAACACTCAGTCCTGGATATCATTTATACGTACAAATTCAAAATTGGCATGAATGGAGTCATGCCTGATTAGTTTTCTCAACATTATTGTTAAAATATTTAAAAAAAACAATCTATTAATACTCTTTAGGGTTTCTATTTAAAACATGGGCACTTGCATCAAAAATATTTGATTATTTAATTTGATCAGAGTACTATACAAATTACACGCATGATAATTCTGATCTAATTTTGTCAAAAATATTATCATTATATATTATTTTTGTTTTTAAATATTTTATGTATGCAATATTTCTTGTTAATAAATAAATAAATAAATAAATAAATATCTTATACACAAAATTTGACTTACAATTAAATTATAAAATTATTGTCATTTTCTATTGATAAAATATAAATTGAATCTATCAGCGTCGTAAAGAAGAAAAAAAAACAAATAAACAAATTAAATGTTAAACTAAATTTGTTTTGCATTAACTCTTTGGGGCACGGTGGGATTAAAAGTGTTCCACCTTTTTGATACACCATAATGCACGGTGGGACACTTTTAGTCCCACCTTGAAATATTATTGCAATAGCTACACATACTTATAAATTTATATTTCGTCTTATTTACGCAAAACAATTGGTTATTAATTCTTTTTTCTTTATGTTTTTACATTATTACATTATGCAATATCTTTATTAAAAAAATATATCAATTTTGTTTAATTTAAAACGTAATCAAATTTCTCTATGCAACATAGGGCTATTTTATTATCTGAAATTCTATGCCGCAAAGAGTATAATAATTAATAATAAGATTAATAATAAATAATAAGAGTAATAATAATTCTTAATAGAAAGGTACGAATAAAATTACGTCCCATATACTTAAATATATTTATTGTTCGATTTGGAGGTATGTATATTGCGCACAGATCGCTATATTGCAACAATTCATTTTATTACAGTGCAAACACTTTCTTATCGATCTTAACTAATTTTTAATTCTGTTTTTTCCTTTTTTTTTTTTTTTCCTTTAAACGTACACATACTCCCATCTCCGACCACCTTTTATTTCCATCATTGTCATCATCATCATCTTCAGTTTTTAATTAACAAATGCAAAAAATGTTTTATCGTATTGTATTTTTGTTAATCTCTCTTTCACTTTCAACGAATTGATTTTAAATTAAGTTGAGAGGGTGGGATGTAGAAGGGGGGGATATGATCAGGATTATGCAAAAGCAAACAAATTGGCAAATATTTTTTTTAAACAAATCGTTCATCAAATTATTACGAAAACAATCTTTTCATGGATGTTTCATTTTAATCTTTTTTTTCTTTCTTCCATCTTGTATTCTTTTCTTTTCTTTTCTTTTATCTCGGAGAAGACTAGTCGGGACAAAAAAATAAATAAACGAATTACAAATATAAATCGTAATGTTGTTTATAATAATAATAATAATAATAATAATAATAATAATAAAAAATAAAGAAATAAATATATAAAAGGGGGTAAAGTAGAGGTGGTTAGAGGATTTATGGGATTTATTCTAAGGCCTCGGTTTCGAACTACTAACATAAGCTATATATATATATATATATATCAGATATATATCGCCTTTCTAACAACGATACATAGGTCAATATTCGTTTAGTTTCATTTTATATAATACGTACAGGTAAATACGTATGTATATAATCAGAGACTTGAAAATCGGAAGCAAAACATGTATGAAATCTTGTTATATTCGTTACCATTTCTRTTTGTTTGTTTGTTCGTTTGCTTTGAACGACAATTATTTGCATCTATCTTATTAATCGTCTTTTATTAATTTCCCTCCTTTTTTCTTTTTGATATTTTTTTTTTGTTTCATTGATAAGAGTAATACAAATTGTGCATAGATGGTAGTGTCATTTAGTTTGATATTTTCTTCGATAAAATATTTTTATGTAGATCTCTTATGCAATCGTAGTTTGAATTTTTATTAAATAATTATAATAATAATAATAATATTAAAAAAGTCATCATTTTAAAGCTTTCCTCAATCATTATAATTTTAATAAAAATTATAAGGACAATAAAATTAAATCAAAGATAAACAACAATGTATCCAACTCACGAATTGTACTTTCCTAAATCCTTTTTACAAGTCTCTCATTAATTTTATACGACACATACAATTATTTCATTTAAAGTTAACTACATTTGCCATAGTTCAGTCGGTCGTTTGTATTTTTAATTCATACTTTTTCATCATATCTTTTCACTTTCGGAATTTTTCTTCTTTTCTCTCTCTCTCTCTCTTTTTCTCTATTTTTCATATTCACCTTTCTTATTTAACAATTTTTCTTCGCTGATATGCAAGAAAAAACAACGATAAAAACAAACACAAATGAAATAAACTAAATTAAGAGAAACAAAAATGTAGAAACAAAAAAAAATACAAACGAAAAATAATAATATAAAAATAATAATAATAGTAATAATAATAATAATAATAATAAGTCATTCAAGAGAGAAAAAGAAAAGAAAATGCACAATCTTCTCTCGAAAATGTTGAAAAATGTCTTTACCACCATTATATTAAGTTAAATAAATTCTTTGGCGTTTTATACGACGATATTATTTAAATTACAGTTTTACGTGTATATATATATATATATTTACCCTTTTCCTTTTTTTTTTCTTCACTTATTCTCTAAGCGAAACAACGAATTATTTATTTAGGCCTGTTTCATGATAAAAATCTTCATTGAAAATTATCTTCATTGAAGGAAAGGAAAAAGCATGTATAATATAAATAACAAAACAATAAATTAAATTGATGTTTTAAGTTTGACGAACGACGATAGAGTAAACTCAAATTTACAGTTTTTTTTTTTTTTTTTTAAGATTTCCAACATAATTTTATTATATACTTCTCTTTGTACGTTTTTATGTACAAGGTTCCAAGTTTTGTCAGTTTTTACTCTTTTTTTTTTTTTTTGTTTTTTTTTTCCTCAGTGTTTTTCATCTTTTTTTTCTTCTTCTTCTGCTTTTCTTTATCTAATCTAATCTAATCTAATCTAACCTACTTTTCTCTCTTTCTTTTTATTTTTTTTTGTATATTTTAATTTTTTAATGCCAAACAGTCCCTGTGACGTATCATTATTTGTTTAATAAAACACATTGTTTGCTTTTATACATAAAATTAATTATACACACTCTTTCTTTCTTTCTCTCTCTCTCTCTCTCTCTCTCGCTCTATTTCTCTTTTTCTTTCTTTCTATTGAAATAATTTATAATTGACAATAAATATAAATAATTAAAAGAGAAGGAAGGAAAAGAAAAGATAATTAGAAAGTATAATAATAATAATAATAATAATTAAGAATATTTATGATAAAAAGATAGAAACTTAAAAAAAAAAAGGATTGTTTAAAAAGAAGAATTTTCTAACAAGTGTTATTATCCTTTCTCTTCTTCTTCTTCTTTCTAATACATAAATAATATATTACAAACACGAATCCATTTAAAAATCGATGCTAAATGTACAATCTTCAATAAACAAAGATTGACAATAGCAACGATCATTCCCATATTTTTATCATTCGTGTTATCTTTCGTGAAAATTTTTTTTTTAATATCTCGTCTCGAAAGTTTCTTCCTTTATTTTGTATTATTATTTTTAACGTTTTACTCTAGCACAAAATTATTCGTCGTTTCTTTTTTCTTGTTTTAAATATTATTTTATTGAATAACGTTATTCAATAAAATAATATAAAATAAACAAACAAATAATATTGTGTGCATGTAAAATTAAGAAGAGAAAAAGAAAGAAACATGGGAGTGACGATTTAAAATATACATTTTTGTTTTTTAAATATACAGTAGAACCACTCCAGTTAATTGAATAAATTATTTTTGTATTATTTGAACATACATACACACACATGCATACAATGTTGTAATAATCAGAAACAATTATGTCTTTCCAATTGAATTCAGATAGACTGGAAATGATTCAACTGTACACGCACACAAATTACACGTACGTACAAATATACGTTCGTCTTTAAAGAGTATCGGACCGATGAAAAAATGTACAATCTTCGAGAGAACATTTATAGTAATATAATCACAATCATAATAATAATAATAATAATAACAATAATAAAAAATATAATACTTCTGATAAAAGCGAGTTAAAAGTGTGGGAAACGAAAAAGAAAGGAGAAGAACAAGAGAATAATAAATTAGCACCAAACAAAACCAAAAAAAAAAAAAAACAGAAAGAAAAGGTAAGAGAACAATTTAGAAAAAGTTGATCTTATTCTTTGTGTTTTGAAAAAAAAAGAAAAGAAAAGAAAAGAAACGAAAAGAAAAAAAAAACAATAAAAATAAAATATAGAGAAAAATTATGAAGTGTAAAAAATCAGTGTTTAGTAAGATCGAATTTAAAAAAATAGAAATCAATCAATTCGTCAACATTTTTCGAATAATAATGAATAATATTAATTTGAATAATAAGATATAATAATAATATGAATAAAATCACATCGGTAATAAATCTGGATCATTTTGAAATCACATCATATACTTGTTTTAAATTCGTTTTCCTAACTTACTAGCGGTAAAACTTTGTCTTCTTATATATATATACAATAATTATATGAGCAGCCTTCGTTTTTTTTTTTTTTCACAATAGATTTCTTTCTTTTTAAAGCAATCATTTTTAGGTGATCGAAGAGATCTCACTCATGTTCGATCAATGTAATTCATATCATCATCATCATCAACATCATCAACATCATCTCATCATACAAGTATTGAATTATATTGCTCTCCTATGATCATCGAATACATAAACGATTGATCGATATATTATTTTGTGTGATATTTTTATTTATTCTTTTTTTTAAATTAGTATTAATATTTATATACTTTGTTTTCTCTCGTTATTCTTATTATTTTTATTTCTCTTTTTTGGTTTATTCGACACATTCTCTCTCCCATTGTTTGGACTAAAAGATACTTTTTTGTTTTTGTTTCTTTTCTTCACTATGATCATTGTGATCAATACTAAAAAGGGATTTGTATGTCCTGTACTGTGATAAAGAGAGGATTATTAGTAACTTAAATATAAAGTGTCGTACAGATGAGAGCACTGTGTATAATGGTGTTTGTATTTAAATAACACGAACAATGTTTCTCAATCGGATAAACAAACAAATGAATGAATAAACTAATGAACGAATGAAATTATGAATGAAATAAGTAAATGAATGAATTCAACGGAATCATTCTTGCTGCCAACGAATCATCAATGCACCTCCATTTAATCTGCTAAGATTTTGACTACTACACGTTCAACTTATCGTTAGCACGATGGCTAATCGAATGGAACGGAAAGATAAGAACGAAAAAAGAAAAAGAAAGAAAGAAAGAAAGAAAGAAAGAAAGAAAGAAAGAAAGAAAGAAAGAAAGAAAGAAAACAAAAAATAGAAAGAAGATTTTTACAAAAGACCACCCTTGCGTCCAAAGAATAATGAACTGATGGAACCTAGGGCGGTTTGAGTAATGGATTCTCTGGTAACTGGTGTTGCAATATTAGCCGGTGCCATAACTTTTCCTAAATCTGATCTAGTTGGTTTACTACTATTACCATCGCTATCTCTTTTATCTTGAGTAGCAAACGCGCATTCTAAAATGAACGATCTCATTGGCGAATCTAAACTAGAATTAGCAGAGGACACAACTGAAGAACCACCATCGTCGTCATCGTCCATCTTATTTCTATGATCATCGTCATTCATATGACGTTCCAACATTTGTTTTGATCTAAATTCGGAGGAAACCGAGGATGAGGATGACGAGGACGAGGGTAACGAGGATGTGAATAATCTTTCTTGACTGACGCTAGTGGGCATTGATCCTTTGAGGAAGGTCAGTTGTGCCATTGGACTTTTCATCGAACGTCGCGTATATAAAGCACCCTGAAGTGCCAAAGGTGAGATTGAGGAACCAACGGTCGTCGACATGATAGCATCTATTCCTATTCTTTCAAGTTTTTCAACCAATCGTATTCCTGACAATGCTTTTTTCTCGGATCTTGAAAGCGACGGTTTTGATCTCGTTCGTTTGTTATGTTGCGATTGAGTTGAGGATTCCGTACTGAATGTACGTTTCAATAATTCAGCTCCACTGCTTAACAGGCTGAAAGATAGAGAAGTATTTTCTTGTTGCGATGTTGCAGATGGTGGTGGTGGTGATGTAGATCTCGTTGCTGGTGGACTGGCGTCTGGACTATTACAAGGTGTGGCCGTTGGTATGAAGTTTCTTTCACCGTTAGGTGTTGCCCCACAGGAAGTACCTACGCAGGAAGGTGTCACAGCCTTAATTCCTCTTTCATTAAGCATCTTAGCCAAGCCGAGTGTCGTCGAAAAAGTCGAGGTAGAATTACTCCTGCTACGAGTTCTAGGACTATTTCTTCCAGAATTTCCAGCGCTACTTGGTGCCGTTGCTACTCGACTACCAACGATACTTGGTGTCACACTCGTATGCTCGTCCGGATGAAGTACCGTGCTATTCGTAAATGTATACACCGAGCCTGTATCTTGGAAAAGTTTACCAGGATTCGCGTATTCCTCGTCTTCCTCTAAATCCGACAAAGTAAAGGTCAATAAACCAATATCTTCAAGGCCACGTCCACCACGCGTTCTAACACCTGGCCTATCTTCCAATAATCCACCTAAAGTAGGCGTAGCTAATCGTGACCAATGATGTAACGTTTGCGAACCCTCCATTGGTTTTACTATCTGTAATTTCTCTGGAACTCTCCAGGCATTTCCTGCATTAGCACTGAAACCGCTTAGATTACCACTGCTACCGGTTGACATTATACTGTCAGGTGTTCGACAACCAAATGGTAAAAAGTTCGGAGGTGAATGTGCGATACCACCATCGTAATCATAGTTGTATCCAGCACCAGTACTCAGACATGCTCGTCTTGTTAGCACTTCTGCAGGTGTCAATCGACGTAAAGCTGCTTCCAAATCGGCTGCACCCGGTGCACCAGGTACTCCAATCCTTTGTGGTCCTCTGTTAATAAAGACAAATATAATAAACATTTATTACAAATCATTTTCTTATAGATTATTTTGTACGTATATACGGATTGTACGAATACATACGGATAATCATCAAATTCAGTGAAAAGGGAACCTTCGCTCTCGCTGTGACCGGTAGAATCGAAACTTGGAAAACCAAAAGATACATTAGATTTAACTTGAGTAGAACTCATACGTGGACCCATCGAACCGCTAGATAATGTTGATGTTGTCATAGAACCTATACGAGGAAATTGATTCATATCTGCACTAGAGTAGGACGCTCGTGAAGCACAACGAACCGTTTCGAATACTTTCTTATAGGTTGGCCTAAATAAAGAAAACAAATTGTCATCGTTAAATCATGTATGAAAGTATCTAAGAATGACGATGACATTTTAACTTACGTTCGATCGGTAATGATGCCAGAATCAAGACTCAATTCCGAATATAGAGAAGATTCCAATTCCGAAGCTATCGAGTCTGGTTGTGGTGCAGCACCCATCGAAGGAAACAGTGATCCACCTCTTACGGTTGGCATTCCACGTTTTCTTTGTTTACGCAACTGTTCTTGCGTTTCAGATAGTAGATTAACAACCTACAAAAAACGAAAATAGAAAAATAATTCATGAAATTTAGTTAAATTTGGAATTCCTTTTTTTTTTCTAAAGTACCATTGTGCTTTGATTACTGGTTAAAGGTGTGCAGCTAGTGTATTCGAATAATATGATGACAAATATATAAATTACCTCGGCATATCGTTCTTTAAATTCCGCAAGTTCACTAGCAAGGGTGTTCTGATTATCTCTGGTAATGACTAGAGTCGCACCGACCTCATCATGCTCGGCCAAGAGTTGAGCTAACCTGAGCTCAGTTTCAGCTAATTTAGCAGTCAGGCTAATTATTTGTTCATGCTGTAACCTATTTTCTTCTTTTTGTCGACCAAGTTCATCTGCCATATCGTCCACCTCCATATTGGCATTTGCTATTACATTTGATGAGATTATTTTCATTTCAATAAATTACAATTAAACATAAAACGTTTCAATTAAAATAATATAATTAAAACTAACCGAGTTGAGAAGCAATGTCCTTTACAAGGCGGGCCTCTTGTTCCTCGGTATCGTTGGTCTCGCTTATCAATTTGGAAAATTCATTACGCAATTGTTTGTTCTCATCTTCTAACGTACTTATTTTCCTTTGCATCATGTCCAAATTGATACCACGTAAACCAGTTGGTGTACCACTTTCGGAGCTCGACTCGTCAACGTCGTTTGTGAGAATTTGAATGAGTTCGGTTTTCTTGTATAATTCATGATTCAATTGTGTGATCTTTTCGTTTGCCTCTTTCAAATCTGATTCTAGGGCGTTAACAGTACTCTCAAGTTTTTGATTGTGCGTCAGCAGTTCTTTACCAATGCGTGCCGTCAATTCCAAATCTTTTTCTTTCTACAAAAAAAAATAATAATAATTGTTAACAACAATATATGATACTTTTCATTTGTTTGAGTATGTTAATATTATTAAACAATTAATCTATGATCGTTATGGATTAAAAAAGTAATATTTTATATCATTGTTTCATTAAGTTCTACATTTTTTTCAACTTTTTACTGAATAAATTAACAAATGTTAAATACTTTGTTTTTTCTATAAGATGAAGTATACTAGTCGATCATATTATTAATTGGTTAAATTCAAAATCATTATTTTCTTGTTTTAATCTTACTTCTTCCAGAAGCCTTGTAACTGCCTCAATGTCATTATAGGTCTTGGTCATTTGGCTCACACGGTCGCTGCATAGAACTAAAACAATAATAATAATTTTATTCGACTTTGATGCAAATATTTATTATAAAAATTAAAATCAAATGTTTATGTTTATGTATAAAATTAAATAGGAACGTGTTAAACGAATAATATTCAATATTAGAATATTGTGTACATTGACAAAAATAAATAAAACAACAAAGTTTGCAGAAAAAATAATATCAATTTTTTATTAAAAATGCGAAGAGGCTGAAACAATAATTGGATGTGATATTTAAGATGTAAATCTACTGTGATATTTAAGATTTCACGAGATGTTGCATTGAGAGTTGACCAACAAAATTAAAAAGTAAATATAAAAAATAACAAACAACAAATAATTTTTATATTCAAAATTAAAACGTACAGAATTCCTACACTTTTTGCAGATGCACTTTTACGGAATAAATATACGTGACGTATAAATTTGTTCTCGTTCATTGCACGTGTGATCAAAGAAAAAAAAAAGTCGATTATACCTAACTATTAATATCAAGTATAGCAAATGGGTCATTAAGCAATTTAACATGTATATACCATTTATAAATTATCAACCTTTGATCATAAGAATAAATCGAAACCTATAATATTTATTACAATGATTAATTTCTTTCAAAAAATGTATTATTGTTTGCTTTTAAAATATACCTTGATTATCATCCTCGGTATTATTAGTAATCGAAGAAGAAGAAGATGATTTTCTACTTCTCATAGAAAATACGCTTAAAGTACGAGACAACATGTTGTTGATAATTAAAAAATGTATATTAATTATTTATCACGATAAAACATTCAACAAATGAACTTTTAAATCGAATCTTCACAGACTGTCCATGTAAACATAGATCCCCACCCCACCACTCGTCGTTTGATTGTCCAATATTTACATTGTCCCTTGTTCACAAACAACTTATCAGCATAAGTAATAACACTTAGGAAAAAGTTTACTCGTTATAAAAGAGACCAAAAGGTTAATGAATATTTCAAACAGGTAAAAATGTGATCCATAAATCATCTGACCATTCGGTTAGGTCTGAACAAATCTCTTCAAGCGTTTGTGGTATTGTGTAACTGAACACATCTAGGTTCTAGGTTCGTCGTTCCTTTCTCAAAAGAAAATTTGAAACTTGTAGGACGGATAGCGTGTGTTTATAGTATAGTAATCCAAAACTAACTGGACGAGAAATGTGAGAAGGTGTAAAGAGAGTTGAAAGACACGCTTAGGTGAATGCACGAAACCAACCAAACAACCAAACCCCACCCCTAAGACGTTGTTGTTGTAGATTTGTGTGTTGTGTGTATTCCAGGGTTTTTTCAATTAAGTTTACTAATATAATATCAGCACCACAATTCTACTACCGGCGGCAACATATCTGAATAAACTACTCTCTTGCATCTTATCGATCCAAAGGGAAACTGTAAGCCGAGGTATTGGCGCAGACGCATCATCATCTTCTTCTACATAGGCGTCATAGTAACCGGGAGAATGTATAAACACGTGTTGAGAACTCGTTAGTATAATCAACATGTTAAACACGTGTGTCTGTGTGTTTTTGAGTAGAAAGATTTTTTTTTTTTTATTAACTAAATTCTAAAACTAAATTGATTCAAACAAAATTTGATACGTAAAACTATTGGGAGGACGGAATAAAAATTGTTTTTATGTTTTTGAAACTTCACTTTTTTTTCGGTTTTTATGAGAAAGTGGATAACCTTGTTTAAATTCCAACTCTTACAACAGAGATTCAGTTTCTAAAAAAGAAATTGGATTGTGGCCATAAGATGGTCATTGAAAACTAGTTTCTGATATTTTTCCTCCTACTACTATTATTATTATTATTGTAAAATGATTACTAATTAATTAATAATGTTTGATTTATATTAGTCCCATAAATTTATGTTGCTACAATAACGTGTTTAAAAAGATTATCTGAAAGACATTGAAAACCGGTTAAAATGTAGTTATTTACTTTTTCTCATTTTGTCACCAGAACCAGTTTCGTGATACGACTAATCTAATAGGATTGGAATCCATGTGAATATTCCAAGTAAGGGGTGAAGAATGATTCATACTTCTGACGGGCCCACATTCTTGCGACTATGATCGAAAATAATCTCAAAGAACAATGCACGAATCGGTTTTAAATAGACACACACACGCAAAACGCTTATAACCATCTCAACCATTGACAAACCAATTATGTTTATCTTATATATTTTTCTTTTTTTATTCTTACTTGAAAATATTGTATGACAGATTTTCCTTATTAACATTATTTACTTGAGACAAAATTATATAAGTTAACCGCACGTTCATTTTTTTTTTTTTTTTAGTTTATATGAGAGAGAACATTTTTACCAATAAAATTTTAACGATGTTGCATAATATTTCTGTTCTGTGTTCTTCTAACAATTTTATGCAACTGCAATTATTCATTAAAGTAACATTAGGAGAAACATCATGTATATATAATAAATATATACAGTAATTGTAAAAATATTAATTATGTTTTATACATTTAAATAATTTATAATATAAGATAAATCAAGAAAAAAAAGAAGTTATTTCTATTTTTTTTACAATATTATCGCAATTGCTAGCATAAACCTATAATAAATAATTATAAGATAATTTATTTAAAAAAAAAAAAAAAAACAAACAAAAAAAGAAGACAAAAGTGAATAAATTGTAATAGTGAATCGTAGTGCATATTAAAGCATTTGGATACATTTACAGTGACACGTGCTGAAAAATATAACAAGCATGCTTGTATATATGTATGTGTGTGTGTGTACGTGCATCAAATGTTCTTATATTTCCAACAAAAAAAAAAAAACTAAAAAAAGAGAAGCATCGATGTTACGTGTGATAACGATTAGGATTGTTAGCATAGACAAGAACGCAGACGAGTTTTCATTTGATTACAGGTGTAAATGAAGGTAATATAAACAACTTTACGATCTTCTTACATTTCGTCATTTGACGAGATATTTAAGATAAAATAAATAACGCGATATATAATTTATAATTATATAATTATATTAATTGTTCATGTAATATACCAATTGTTTTGTAAAAAAAAAAAAAAATATTATTCATAATTTATAAAATAAATATTAATTCTTAAAAGTGAGAATATAATTAGTTAGTAATTTCAAGTTGAAAAGTAAAAATACAATTCTACTTTTTTCTAATGAAATTATTTAAATGTCTTCTTTTATTTGCTATTTTTTTTTGTTCAACGTGTAATATAAAAATCGTATATAATTTATTATTAACTTTATGACGAATAACGTTTCAATGTAAATCTGAAGTTGTTCTCGTGACGTACGCAATAAGAATAAGGAAAATTTGTGGTACTCTCGTGAGAATGACAAAATATAAAAGAAAGAGAGAACACCTCAAGGACACATTAACAACACAATGTTACACCTATTACTACTACTACTACTACTACACCTGTGATCATGTCAATTTTATCGTTATCTTCTTCTTAGTAATAAGTCTTATGCAAGTATTGGTTTTAGTACTATATAAATAAGGAAAGAAAAAGAATAAAACTAAAAACAGGACGAATGAAAATATGAATCAAACATGATTACGTATTCTTTACAAAAGAAAAAGAAAAAGAAAAAAAAAGCAAAGAATACACTCTCTTTGATTTACAAACATACAATTATTCATACAAACTTTAAGTCACGTGAATTAATGTGTGACAAGAAAGATCTTACAAGAAGAAATAAGAAGAAGAAGAAGATGATGATAATGAAGAAGAAAACTCATCTGGTCACGTCAAAGAAAAATATTAACAGTTTATCGATTTCATGTTTTCTTTTTCTTTGAATCATTTTTTGGATAAAATATAAATATGTGTATGTATATAATTGGATGGATAGAAGAATAATGTGTTTTTCTTTTGATAGGATAATTATAGTACTGACAGGATATGCAAGTGCAGGGTGTGTCGGTTGGCGAACCAAGTAGAAACAATGGCGTCCCTTCGAAACAACTTTTGCAGTCCCAGCAGGGCGCGCTGATTCTAGTTGTTGGTACGTCGGTAGGTACTGAACCAGTTTGCGAATAATATGTCTCGAGACGAAGTACCCTAGCCACTTCGTTTTCATAATTATCCGAAGTTGAATCAAATTCCGATGAAACTGATGAAGTTGAAGGTCTGATGTCCTCGTCGTATTCGTAAGGATCATCATCCTGGGATTCTTCTTCCTCTTCCTGTTGCTGTGGTTGTTGATGATACTGTGATTGGTAATGATGAGGATGACGATGATGAAGATGAGGATGAGGATGAGGATGAGGATGAGGTTGAGGATGAGGAAGATTCGAAGAGGTTGCTTCCTCCTCGATTTCCTCCACCTTGGCACTCCAGTTTTGCTTTTCTGATTCTTCGTCCTCCAGGGTACACCAAAAGAGGTCCTACACGGACCAACTCCAACACCAAAAACTACCCCCATAACCACCATTTCATTACCCAATTCCACCAACCCCATATTAGTTACATTAATCTAACATTTATTTGTATATTGCTATTGATCAATTTGATTTTTTATTAGAAAAATAATTATACTTTTTAACATATATATATTTTATAGTATAATTATTAGGTTTTTATATATATAATTATTTAATAATTGGTCAATTAATTTGATAATTCAATCTTCTAACTTTGATCAAATTAATTAATTATAGATATTGTCTTATTATTCTTTTTTGAAATTGTTTAATATCAATAATATATTGAATATTTTCTTTATCAATTTGATAAATAATAATAACGTTGATTGCTCGAATTAACCGAGCATATAAAGGTTTATTATAAATAATCATAAATGTAATAGAATATGCGTGTTGCATCGGATTGTAAACTTAAACCGAGTTAATGTTAACGACACAGATATATATATTAGTATTTATTATTTTATGTATCATGGGAAATGTTGTTGCGAGTATCATTCACGATCTGATTATGACGATATTGAATTTCAATATTCGAACAATTTCTTCTTTCTCTCACAGTTATTACTTTCATATAGAAATCTCTTTTGATTTATTTTTATACTCCATCTTTTGTCTTTCTCTCTTATCTGAATTTTTAATTAAATAACAATTATCTAAAAGTCTTGACGTAATACGAATGACCCTATTTCACGTGATTACAGATTCAAATTACTTTTACTTCCGTGTGGAGTGATATACCAACATGATATCATATAACTATATATATATATGCATATATACTTTTTAGACGATCGATATCGTATGCAATGTAAGAACTGATGCAATTTATTCGCAAAATTAACGGTTTTTGATCAACGATCATAAATAAGATTCAATCATAAATAAATAGATGTTGTTTTTTTCTTAAACGATTTTCTAGTTTACTTTGATGATTTTTAGTTTTCTTTTTTAATTAATAAACTTGTTAAAACAATACCATTAAATTACGAAAGTGATTCAAGTTTAAAAACATGGTCAAATGAAATACATTTATGAACTGTAGTTACAAAGAGAAAAATATGTAACATATGTAATTAACAAATTAATACAAATGTATGTATTTTTTTTTTATATATTATTTCAAATTAAAAAAAATATTACAAAATTAAATATATAATAAAAATTATTTAATTAGAAAATTTCTTTTTATGACGTATTTTTGTTTAAACAAAAACTTATGTAAATATGTGGCTTTAAATGTGTATGTTGTAATTTTGGTTAACAATATGATAAAAAATAAATATAATAATTTTTAGTTATACTATTTTTGTATTATAGAAAACTATATAGGAAATTTATGAGATTATTAAGCTATGCATATATGTATCATATGCATATATGATAAAAGTATCCCAAAAGAAAACAAAGGTACAGACGATAAAGGTAATTATTGATTTTCTTCAAGAGAGGGTAGTAAGCTCGAGTCTTGCATAAGACTTTGCACCACCAACCAAACTGATAATATGAAATCCATGAAGCCTTTTTCGTATTATAAATAGTCTAGGTATTAAAAACATTGCAAAAAAAAAAAAAAAGAATCAGTCTGATTAAAAAAAAACTGGTCCTTTTTACACACTAACCAAACTATACGAGTATATACATAACATACACATACATATACATAAATGATCTTTATCGATAATCTTGTAAACTTTTTTTTTTACGTATATCTCTATCAGACTGAATAATAATTTATTATATTGACAGACATATAAAAAAGAGAGAAAGAAAAAAGATGTTAAAGGTTATTTGTCACGTTCTTGGACTCCGCAGTATGAATAAAACAAAACTTAAAAAGAAAACCAAAAAACATTTCAACTTTTTAGCCTCGTTCGTTGCCTTCAAAACAGATCGTCATTCGTTGTGCACATACATATATACATACATTTACTATTTTTAAGTTTTTATGTATATGCACACAAATAGACAGGACACTTACAAAATATGTACTATATTTCATATAATACTCGCAAAACAATGTGCAACAACGATGTCAAGGATCGTCAAGAAACGTTTTTTTTTGTTTTATTGTAATATAACCACCACCTCACGGTCAAGTACACTAAATTGTGCATTTTCTTTTATATTTCTTCACGTTCGATTGATTCTACTACGTTTGTCGTATCCTTTTTTTTATTGTCTCGTTTGTGAAATTCATCGACTATAAATTGTACGTACCTGTGAATATAAATAATCAAACGTATTAATTAAAAATATAATTGAGTTAGTTAAATCTTGCAAAAGTATGAAGAACAACATTTCTTACGATATGCACTTTTTGTTTGTCTATTGGCCTTGATTTCTTATCGTTTCGTTATTTTCTCTCTATAACGTTTTAACTAGTTGCGTAAAACAGAAATACAAAATTATTAAATAGAAGATTAATATAGGAATATATTAAAATTTTTATCGTCATACTCTACGAATACACTCATAAATGACTCATACGAAATATGCAAAGCGCATCATCGTTAAATTGACGTTGTTAGTATTATCTCTACTGTCTGAAGATCAAACGAATTAATTCTAATTAATGTACTTTTCAAATGCAGTTTTTAAAAAACGCGCGAAAAAAAAAGCATAAGAAGACGACAGTAAAAATGATTTATTATTAAGTACAGTCATTCAAATAATGCGCGCGAATTTGGAAACGGGGGGAGGGGGGTGACAATTTCAATCCCGCGATTTCATGAGGGGTTGTAATATTACTTTTAATACAAAAACTATCAATAAATTCGACCAATCAGTGTCAATCTTATACTACTCACTGACCAATCAACGATGACAATGACACCCGATGTGACCAAATTATTGCGAGCCGGTGCAACACGCATTACACATATAAATATTTAAACTATGGATATAAAAATAATAAAAATAATTATGAAAATAATATGTATATATATTTACCATTCAATAATGAAGTATTCGTTCAAAAAGCGATCCTTAATCGCGTGTATTATATATATATATTTATATATATATATATGTATATATATCAACCTTTGAGGATATCGCACTGAAGATTAAAAAAAATAGACATTCTTGAAAAACACTGCAATAACCTTCAAAATAGTTTTAATCGATCTTTTTTGTCAATGACGTTTATTTCTTTTGAGTTTACGATAAAAACTAAGCTTTTTTTTTTCAATAACACGATACTGCGTTAACTGAAAATGATCACTGTTGAAAGAGCTCACATCAGAACGTAGTCCGAGACGTTCAACGACTGGATCAATCCGCCATGTTGCCTTTCAATGTATCCCTCCTTTAAGTTCTTCTTTTAAGGTTACACCTTTCTCACGGCAGATGTCGTTACTTTTCTTTACCGACAGGCCGATATTTTACCGACCGAACAAAAACATCCCTTCTTTTTCCTCCTACCTGTTTTTTCACCCTCTTTCTCTTTCTTTTCTAAACGTTCGATAGTTTATTTTACGTTTTTTATAAAAAAAAGAAAAAAAGAGAGAAAAAAATTTGTTTATTTTAAACACACTTTACTGGTCTGAGAGTTGGGTATTATAAAAATAATTTTATTGGTTTTTTTTCTTCCTCCTTCTCTTGAAAGGGCGTTCACAGGTCGATCTTAAAGGGCTTAAAGAGAATATACAACTTTATGACCTATTGCATGTATGCCAACCCAACACCACGCACATCGATCCATTCAACGTTCAAGCTGTTCCCTGACATTTTGTTATGAATGAGAATCGCATACATGAAAATAGATCGGATATATTATACTAACCAGCGATAAAAAAAAAAAAAAAGAACTTTGATTTATATGTGCCAGCTATTTTGGTATCGATGAAATAAAGAATTCTTTTCTATTTTATTTTTTTCGTTTCCTTCTTCTTATTCTCTAACTAATCTAAGAATATTTTCGTATTTATACAACTTGGCGTGTTTAAATTTAGATCTTTTGTAACAAAGATAGTATGATTCTTGACGATGATGATGATTATTATTATTATTATAAAAATACTATACAATCTTTTTATTTTTATAACAAAATAATTATTTAACTATAACTCGATAAGATGTTATTTTGACTTCGCGAAATTGTGGCGGGAAAAGAATTTAAATTTGTATTCTGAATCGATCATATCAGTTCATTGTCCCTAAAAGCCTCTTTTCTAATTTTAACAAAACATTATGATTATTATTATTATGTCTATATTTTCTTTCTTTCAAGTCGATACACACGTAAAAAAACTTGGCATAGCAATCGATATCGATCATGTAAACGTTAAAAGAACGCGAGCAATGACGCGCGTTTATTGACACTATCTATCTACTTACAATAAACATTAGAAAAATGGTGTGTGAGAAATTGATTTATTATTTTCTTGTAAAATAAAGAAGAAATTTTTTTTTTTTTTACGTAAGAAATATATATGAATAAATGTATTCCGTACAGAAAACAATTATATAGTAGAATATTGTAAAAGAGGAAGAAGAATAAGAGGAAGAAGAATAAGAGGAAGAAGAAGAAGAGGAAGAAGAAGAAGAAGAAGAAGAAAAAAAAAATTAATGACAACGATTAAAGCTTGTGTGTGTGCAAATACGATTCGTTGAAAAAGATGAGAGAATCAACGTGATTGGATTAACGGGAGTTGAACTTCGTTAAATTGTAATAGCAAAAAAATAATTGCGGGAAATTCATTCTTTTAGAAATAGAATAAAAAGATATTGAAAGAATGAAAAGCGAAGGAAAGTAAGAAAGAAATAAACAGAGAAAATGTTTACTTGGAAGATCCGAAAGAATAATAATAAAAAGAAAAAAAAAAAAAAAGATTTCTCAAGCTTACAGGAAATATTATAAAGTCGGATTGAATGAGGCAATGGGAATAATGGCGAACGGTAGTTTCTTTCGTCGATATTATTATGAGAAATACTGTTACAATCTTCTTCTTACGACAAAATTTGCCGTGCAACAATCTGACAATTATAAGACAAATTTTTTGAATTGTCGAAAGAAGATTACGAGATGAAAAAAGTTTCTAATACTTTTAAATTATCTACGAGAATCGAAAATGAACATCCACCATTCCGCCATCTTGTAACAACACAATTTTACAAAAAATAATCAATCAAATAGAACAAAAATGATAAAAAAATCAAGATTTTCGATTTACGATAGTAATTCATGAATCTAATCGTAGTTTCAATATTGATTATAAGACATTCGAGTTCAAGGTCGAACGATAAAAATCTTCTTATAATTCTCCCGAATATATTTTATACGAAGGTGTGTGTGTGTGTGTTTGTACGTGACAGGTGTACAAAAAAAAAAAGCGTAATTTAGAAATTTTTGTCTCAAAGTGTTCATACGAGAATACAACAAGGATGTAATTACTTTATATACATGAATATTCTTCAATGTCACGCAACCCATTCGTCGTATCATAAAATTTCAGGGGAAATCATAAACAACTGAACACAGTACACTATGGAAAAATACTAGTAATATTGTTTATTCATATGAAATGAATTATTGCAAATTTTCCATACGAACGAAATTTCAATTTATGACGACACAAAAACCCAGAAGTATTCGTAATATGCAAAATAATAAAGTAATAATATGCATAACAATTATTACACGCGTGTGTATGTGTGTGTGTAGGGATGTGTAAAAAAAAAGATTGATAAAATTTAAGGAAAATAATTGAGACAGAGACAAATAATACGCGTTGTTTCGTCACTCAGCGAGACGACGTAGTGCAAGTTACAATTACACGGTTAGATGAGCACAGAATTACCACCTTAACATAATCGTAAGAGAAAATCGAAAACATTTATTTTACCATTTGCTATACCTAAGCTAAAATCTTTCTCCAACTTGTCTTTCCTTTTTTTTTCTTCTTCTTTTATTTATCTTACTATTTATTACGATTCATTGACGTCTCATTCATTCGAGTTAAATATAAACGAGTTTGTTCAAATATCATCCTAACACGAAATGTCGATTAAGATTTAAAAAAAAATTTAAATTAATTTCAAACGAATACCTTTTTTTTTATCATTACATTTAATTGTGTAGAATTTTAATCATAGGAAGTGAGATAAATTCTAAAATTATTTTATTTTTAAGACTTTGTTTAACCTACTTTAACTCTTTCACGACTGGCGCCGGTTATATACGGCATCTATTAATTATCAGTATTAAATTAGTTAAATAAATTTGCAGTAATTACACACGTATTTAATTTAGACACAAATATAAAGTGTTGTATTTGTTTTACATAGAAAAATATACAAAACTTCAAAAATTTCCAAAATATTAAATCCCTTAACGTTTACGTCGTACACCACAGCAGTTCCAGCATCGTGAAAGAGTTTTATAATAAATACAATAATATATTATGTAAGACTATAAACAAACAAAAATAAACAATTATCCCAATTTCCTTTTTGAAAGAAAAATCGCATGATAAAAATCACAATAAAAAATCCTACCTCGATTTAACAGAAGCGTACGAATAACTCTGATGTAAATCCTGCCATATTTCGTCCTAGCAACGTGAAAGAGAAAATCCGATAGATCACCGTCACCTTCGTGTATGTCAGTTTCGGCTAAAACTTCTTTAAGAACTTCAACACGTTCCTCAGGTGTACTTTCGTCAGGTGGTCCAAGTTTTCTTTCCAAATATTCAACGACACCAATGTCGTCCCATAACAAATCATCTTCTTTATCATTTATCTTATTAATTTTTTTCTGTATATCATCTTTTCTGATACTACCCCTTCTCCTATCATCCCTAGTTTCTCGATAACTGTTAGTAGCATGATCAACAAGGTCATGTCCCGACATATCCAATCCCGAATAAGAAACGTCCAATGCGAGACTCTCGAACGTTGATTCGGCAGTGGTGGTGGTGGCAATCGGTGGTACAAACCATCTTGAACCACCACCACCACCACCACCCACCCCATCTTTATTTTCATTTGATGGTGCAGGTAAATTCACTTTTTTTTCTTGTGATTCACTTATACTCGTGTCGTTCATGTCCTCATGATCCAATTTATTACGTTTATCGGGATTTTTAATTGATCCTTCGTTTTTTTTTCTTCTTCTTCTTATTCTTTTGATGAGGGTGTAAATTATGTCTATTTTTGTTTATTTAATATCACTGATAATATGCGTTTAATAATTTGGTTGTTGGTTTAGTTGTAGTTGTTTTTATTTTATTTACATTACTTTTTTTATTTACAATGTTTAATCATTATTTTATAGTACACTTGGTTTTTTTATTCACAGTCCCATCGGATGATTTTTATCATTGTTTGTTTATTAGATTTAAATCAAACGATTTTAGCAATGTTTTTTTTTTAATTGTCTTTTGAAATCGAGGATATTCGATATTTTTCTCCCCATTTGAATTTTTCCTATTTCTTTTTTTTTTAATATAAAATTAAAATAAATAATTATGGTTTAATTAATAGAAGATTTTAATTTGATCTAAAGATTATCACAAAACCGGTAAGGTAAGAAGCATTGGGTTAGGTTCAATGAACTCTATCGGAGAATCGAGAATTCGAAAAAGAACAAATCCTTGATCCTAACAGGATACGCATGATAACGGAGAATCTGAAGGAAAAACCTCTCACCCCAACTATTGGTGTTGCATCGATGCAAACAAATTCAATGAAACATAATTTGTATATACGGTGTATATACAAATTTGTTATATGTAATTATGAACAAATATATAATAATAATATAATAATAATAAGAAAATAACTAAAAAGTTATTTACCGTAATATATAATAATTACAAAAAAAAAAAACAAAAAATACATAAATATATGCAACGTGTATTAAATTAAAAATCTATATAATATATAATATTAACGCACTATTAATATATTATAATAATTAATTATAATTAATATATAATATATTATATAATATTAATAAATTTATTATTAATAAAAATTAAATTTATAATTACATTAAATTAATATTAACTTATTAATATATATTATATAATATAATAAATATAAAATAAATATAATATAAATTAATTTAAACGAAAGAAACAAAATATTATTTTCTCTCACAAATTAAAAATCATCTAACTCAAATAATAATAATAATAATAATAATTAATTTTAATTACTACGAATAAACGGGAGTCACGAATTTTGGTTTAAAATACTTTGAATACAAAATTTAACATCCTAGTTCGTTGAAACAATTATTTTAACATTTTTAAATTGTTGTTACTACTTTCACACACTCGTTCGATAATAATTATTAACGTTATTAAATCACTGTAAAAAAAAAAAAAATATATATATATATATACATACAAAGAGACAAAAGTGTGTTTCTTATTGTCTTTTGATGATTGTTAATTAAAATAATTGCTTTTGCCTATGTACACAGGTTGGAAAGTAGAGATTAATCAGTTCTCATTGTAAGAGAACAAACTTCTTTCTCATTCATTGAATAATTTAGTGAATACAATACAATGTTGATGAAGTTAGTTGAACCGTTCGATCGTATCTAATAACCGTGGCATCTTCTTTTCGAATAAGTAAGATCAAAATTACGTCAGGTGAAAGAAGAAAGAAAAAAATAATCGTTTAAATCATTTCGAAGTTAATTATTTAATTCCTATACTTATTTTTTCTTATTTCAGATTTTTATTTATCATATTTTATTTTCTAAACTAAAAATTATATATGTATATATATTACTAATTAAATATTATAATTATATTATATTTTATATATCTAATATTAAATTTAATATTAAATATTTAAATTAAATTTTTAAAATTAATTAAATTTTATTTTATAATACACTTGTTAATTAAATAATTAAATATATTTAAATTGAATTTTAAATTAAATATTACTAAATATTAAATTTTCTATAAAAATTATTTATTATAAAATAATTTTCAAAAATTGTATAATTAAATAATTAAATATTATTAAATATTTAATTTTCTATAAAAATTATATAATATAAAATTATTTTTAAAAAATATTTCATTTAATATTATTTCATATCATAAACTAGATATGAGTTAAACTCAAACACACACAAATAATACATACAAATAAATATCCTATACTTTCCTATATATATAAATATCTATATTATCATAATATATATATGTGTCAACTTTCTTTATCAAAATTCTACAGTCCAAATTACCAGTTAATAAAGTTAAAAAATAAGCATGACGTAGTAGTACACACTCGTTTAAAAAATGCCAAGGTCAATAGGCTAATCGTAAGATTAGAAACGTTAAATAACTCAAATACGAGAATGAATCAATTGTGTTACACTTTCTAACAAACAAACAAACAAAAAATATGATAAATGATTGTAATATAAATTTTTGTTGTTTAGCATGAATTTTGAATTTAACTATGATTACAAAGAGACAAATGAACATGGCTTTCTCATTCTTGTTGTTCTTCTTAAACTTTATTAGCACGTTCCTCTTCCTTTCTTTCCATTTAAGACGATGCACGATGCATTCTATCAGGTGACTTCGTGTTTATTAAGTGCTAAGAATTTTCTTATGCAATTAGTTCGATTACTTTTGTTATACTTCAAACGAAGAATACAAACGCACATGTATTCTTGAAACAATAAGTGAAAGAATTTATTTATTATTAATTAAAGAATGTTTGATTTATTTTTGGATATTAAATTATTCCAAATTTTATGAACGCGTGTTGCATTGATTGCAAAATTTAAATATCTTTTCTTTTTTTAATAATAACACAGACGATATTAATTTTTGTACCTATCATTTTTATTTTTTAATAAATATTTTATTTAATATTTAATAAATAAATAACTAAAATATTAATTAAATAATAATTAAAATATTTATTAAAATATTTAATAATAATTATTATTGATTTTTTAATAAATATTTATTTATTTTTTTTTTAAATACTAACAAAAATGAGAAAGAAAATTTCATAAAATTGATAGAATTTTATTGGATTCTTGTAATTTAATTGATTAAATAATAATCGAAAAATAATACGATAATTTTTGCACAAATATATGTTTTTTTTTTAAATTTTTTAAATTTCTTTTCTTAATTCATTAAAATCGATAATAATTCTTATCATTTCTCGTACAATATTATCAGATAAAGTCAAACGCTATCATTCTTATAAGATGCTATTAATTACTAAAAATATAATAATTATTATTTCTTTTTTTTCTTTTTCTTTTTCTTTTATTTTATGTTTCATTTTTTTAATGTACGCGTTGCGTGACAACTTCGTGAAAGGATAAGAAAAAAATTGTTGCCGTTATTGTTGTTCATTGTTTTCTTCTTAAAAAATATAAATTGTTCACGCGTCTATTAATCATCGATTGATGATGATGATGATGATGATGATGATGATTAGGATGATTCAGATATCATCTACGTGACTCTGACGATAATTAAAAGTAAGACAAAAATTTGTGATTACCACAACGTATGTTACCACAACGATTCCCGCCACGTATTGGCGGGAAATTCAAAAAAAAAAATTTACTTCTTCGAATTTTGTAAAATAAATTTTCCTTTTTCATCTATAATCTAAATATTATCTTTTAAATTACAATATATANATATATATAATGCATTAAAGGGATAATTTAAGAAGCCAATAAAAAGTAATATGAAATATTTTCGTGAAAGTATATTGGCAAAAGAAAGTTACGAATTATTTCGATGGGGTCCCTTTTGTAAAAGAGAGGTCCTCTTCCTCCTCCCTCCTCTCCAATCGAGAGGAATATGCATCCGTTTTCGAAAGCTGAATCATTAATCTCTTTCTCTTTTTTACTTGAAACATTTTCCTTGAAGGGATACCTTTCTCCGATTAAAAAAAATAAAAAATAAATAACTCCCTTATTTTCTCCAACAACTTTTTTGTATATATGTTTATATAAGTATATTGATGTATAATATATGTATGTGTATACATATATATATATATATATATATATATATATGTATTGAAGATGGGTATCTTATAACCAAAAATGGTCCCAATAAATGTATCACATCGGAAAGAGCGAAAGCAGGTAGTAGTTCCACCTTTCAACGGAAAGGTGAAGATTGATCGTTTTCAATGTTCATTAAAAATCATGTCTTCCAGTACAGAAAGAGTTCTATATATATACGAGTATATACATATATGTGTGTTGTTAATGTATGTATGTATGTTGGATTTGTGTGCGTTCCAATTACGTCCAGTTTGATAAACGTTTAATTAAATATCAAATTTGTTTCGAGAAATTTTTAATTTCATCTTTTTTATTACATTATTTATTATTTTATTTATATATATAAAATATATAAAATAATATTAAAATATAATATTAATTTAATAATATTATAAATATATATTATTACATATAAATTATATATATATATAGATATATAAATTTTATTATATATAAATAATATATAATATAGAATATTTATTATATATAAATAATAAATTTTTATAAACACTGTGTGTATATAAACTATGATATATAATATTATATACAATATAATAAAATAAAAAAAAAGCTAATTTTATTATAACTTTATTGCATATATGCATTATCACACTAAATACCAACCACACCAAGTTAAATAAATTTAAAAATAAAATATCAAACAATAAATTTTTAAATATTCTCTTTGAAATTTTCATCACAACAAACATTTAAGAATTTAGAACGAAAATAATATTAATAATAAAAACAAAAGGAAAAATAAAAACATAAAAAAACAAAAAGAATCGATTGCCAACACATGATCATAAATATACTCGGACGTAATTAAAAACTCATAATGAGCTGCATATACCGTGTGGCCGTTAATTAGGTTAAATAATCGGAGCGGACGAAAGCCTGTTCATTGACGCGAAGTGGAGTGTGTTACGTTTTCTAATGGTATAATACATACAAACATATACAAACACACACATATACAATATCTCAATATTTGAATTAAAGCGAGGCTTCATCACACAATGATAAAAACATGTGTCACTGCACCTCGTTATTTTTTTCTTTTATAGAATTAACCCTTTCTTTTATTTTTTTTTCTTTTTTATCAACGAGACTTTACAAATTCATCTATCAATTACTAATACTAATTAACTAAGAATTTGGTTGTTTTTTTTTATTTCTGAAAATTATTTATTAAATTTCTAAA